TTTTTCAAATGAATTAATAAAGAAAGTATTTTTTTTGTGCTTTCTTCTAAAAGGCGAGGCCCATGGTGAACCCAGGTTCTTAGCATTGACCACGGCACATGGGAAAACGCCAGTCTGAGGCACACATTTCAAGTTTCCGTGTTTTTGATTCTGCACGAGCACACACTTAGGCTACTGAATCCTCACACATGCCCAGCCCCGACTTGTGAACATCTGCCTGTTGCTTCTAAAGCAGCATTCCTGGGGATGGGGCAGGATCAGCCTCAGAGAAGTCGCAGCCGTCTGCGGGCGTGTGGGAACTACACTTGCCTCTCTAAGCAGCGATGCCCTCCAGAGGCTGGATCCTGTGCACACCTGCGTGTGTTGAGATTCTCCTGGGGCCAGGCGAGCCCTGACCACGTGGTGGGCAGAGCCAGCTCGAGGAGCAAGCTGCTTTTGCCCGTGTTCTGCTGGTTACCTGGGAGTGGTTGGCACGGTGCATTGAGAGCTAGAGAGGAGGTGGGTCTTGTGCCATCAAGGTCCTGCCGATACCTCCCATCCCTCATCTGTCATCTCAGTGGGTCATATAGGAAGGACTGCAAACTGTGTGAGAACACCTCCCAGCCGTGTCTGTCTGCCATACAGCTACAAACCCGTTTGGTCTCTGTCTTGCTCCCTGGGGATGCACGGATGGGGAAGGATGAGGAGGGGGTACAGCAGGAGCCAGAGCAGCGGGCACTACACACAGTACTAGTCTAAGGGGGCAGGACTGGCTTTGCTTGCAGCAGGGGCTTACCTGGTCTAAATGTGAGCACTGTGACACCAGCCCACTGACCAGGCTGGGAGGGAGCCAGGCCTTGGATGTGTCTCCTTGGAAGACAGCTCTGATGTGGTAGACATGAGGTTTGGCCCAATCCAGTACTCAAGAGATGGGAGTTCCCTCTTCTCCTTGATCCAAATGGCAGTTTGAGGGGTTACTTGATGGGACAGGCACTGCTACTTGTCTTTCATCAATAAGGAAATTGAAGACTCAGAAATGAGCCTTGCCCAGGATCACATGGAGGACTGGGGCAGAGCCAGGACTAGAGCTCGGGTCCTCAGAATCTTGTCTGTGCTTTTCACTCCATCACCACACATACGTGTGAAAATAGTCCAACTCAAATAATCACTATTCCTAGACACGGCTTATCAGCTACACCAAGAATTCCACCTTTCACAGTTCAATGTCTATAACCATCACTAAGAGTAGAGGAACTGAAATATAACCAACCGAGTGACTCTTTCAGATTCAATCTGAAAACACATTTACAATTACTCTTCTGCTTCTAGGGGCCCTGCCTCCTTTTGATCCCAAGGGACCCTGACATCCTTCCCCGGACGACACCTAAACTGTTACCTGCGAGGAAGGTGGCTCTGGAGCGCTTGAGCGCCTCAGTGTGGTACCTTTTGCTGTGAGAATCTCAGCTAACGTTCACTTTTCCAAGTTAATCATACCAGAAGTGTTCTTCAAATGAATTCTGATTTTCGAAAATGGCGAGATACTTTATTTTTAAAATTAGCACTGCATTGTTAGGTGTGATTTTTGACATCCCAGCAAGGCAAAGCTGTAATCTCACCAGCTGCCATTTAACTTATGGTGCATTTTGTCAGCTCTTATTTTATACAGTATATGTGAACTTAATTTAGATTCTACAGCCCTGGAAACTGTTATTTTTCAGGATTGCAAAATTATGTTGTCTGAGCTTGCGGCGCAAATACCAGTTTAGAGATTTCAAATAAGTGAGTTTTGGAGTCTGAGTATTACGACCTTGGGCTGTTTAGCTCCATGAGTTGAGGGCCAGACCCGGAACACCAGGGTCATGGGTGTGATTCCATCTACTTCCTCCTGTCTTGTGAGCTCAGTCCACATGCCTTTTATGTGGCCATCCTTAATGCAGACCCTGGAGACAGCGTGAGCTGGCTGGAGGCAGCACTACTCCTGGGAAACCCAAGCAGAATGCTCGCTCCACTGATGGGTAGACCAGTAGTTTCTCACATGGGCCACACATTAGCATCACTTAGGAAGCTTTTAAAAAATACGCATACCTGGGGCCCCAGGGATTCTGATTCAGCCGGTCCAGGCATGGGTATTATTTTAAAGCTGCCCAGACAAAGCTAATGTGTGGCCAGGGCTGAAGTCCACTAGAAAGGAGGAGGAAGAGGACAGAATTGGAGTGGTTTGGTTATATTCCCCAGTGCTCCTTTATGATGCTCACATCCTGGAAGAGAAGGAAAGCCGCCTTTTGGCTGCACTGTTCCATCTGGCTTTTGCTATATGTCATTAGGCTTTTAGGGCATGACTGAACAGTTCGGAGTTTCTTCAGTAATGAATCATAAGATTTGGTTGGTTTAAACGTCGTATGAGACATTTTGATAGATCAAGTTGCATTCTGATTGGTGCCTTAAGATCCACATCTGCTTTTTTATTCTTTGAAAGTTTACCCAGAATGAACGTCTTCTGACAGCCTTACCAGAAATATGCTTGTGTTCACGGTTAAAAAAAGAACAAGTGGATAATGTCTATATCCAAGGAGAATCATTAGTATTTACACATGCTTTGAACTGTTCTAGAAGTAAATTATATGTGTCTATGTGTCTAGTTGGAGGCGTAGTATCTGTTACATGGTTGATGATACTCTGGCAGCAAGATTAATGTCAAAATAAAAGAGAAGCAATAATATTTAAAGAGCCTTGTAGCCTGGGAGTTCTCATTGCAGACATCTGTGGGGGCCTCACTTTTACCACCCCCCGCCCCCACCCAGAGTTGGGCTCTTTACATTACTGATCTCGTTTTTCCCCTGCACCTTCTGCTCATTCTGTGGTTCTCCCTTGGAACACGCTTTTTCCAGGACCATGTTACAACCCACTTCTTTTTTTTTTTTTTTTTTTAGGTGAAGGAGATTGGCCATGAGCTGACATCCTTTGCCGATCTTCCTCTTTTTGCTGAGGGAGATTGGCCCTGAGCTAACATCTGTGCCCATCTTCCTCTATTTTTGTATATGGGACGCCGCCACAGCACGGCCTGAGGAGCAGTGCGTAGGTCCACACCCGGGATCCAAACCTGCGAACCCCGGGCTGCTGAAGCGGACTGCGCAAACTTAACCACTGCACCACCAGGCTGGCCCCACAACCCACTTCTTCACTGAAGCCTTCCCAGACAGCCCATTCCATTTGTTTAGCGTGTATTCCATTTTTCATTTGTTTCACACAAGCTGGAGTTGGTCTCTAGTCTGCCTGAGGCTGTGCTTGGTGTCTCTTACCTTGGCAAGTCTTATCTCCTTGTGCAGGAGCTGGCTTCTCTTTCTTTGGAGACAGAGCAAGCTCCTAATTGGTTCCCACTGAATTGGATTCAAAGACTAGCCAGAAGTTCAATGCTGAGTTTTAATGTTGATTGTTTCCATCATATGAAGACACTGTGTTGGGGGGAAGAAGGCAGGGCGAGAGTGTCCTGTTTCTACTTTGAGGAACCGTGATTTGTCAGGCGACAGCTATCATAACACACATGCATGAGGCCGCTGAGGTTGACCAACACGCTTACGTAAGTTGTTGGTGCTCTGAACTAGCCAAGCAAAGAAAATGAACTAAGTGAGAATGAAGAGATGCTTCTGACAAGTTCAGCTTTTTTTAGCCCAGAGTGAAGGCATTTAAACTGAAGAAAGGAGAATTTTAGTTGAGAGACTGCAAGTTGACAAAGAGGGATGGATATTAGTCATTTGCACTGAGAGTAAGCTGCTTTGTGATTCAATAATAATTTCAGTGCAACAGAGGTGAACACTTACCGTGCACCAGCCACTGAGCTGGGCACTTGTGGGCAATGACAAAGAAAGGCAGGGCCCGTCCTTGACAGGCTTACAGACAGGTAGGTGGTAAGATGGGCTGCAGCTTGAATGTGGGTGGAACAGAAAGAAAGATAAAAAGATACTTTGAATATAATCCAGTGATGCTCCTGGCACTATGGAAGCCTCCTACAGGAGGAGAAACGTTTGAGACCGTAACCCAGCAGCCTAAGGCAGAAGCATACGATGGGTCGCCTTGAGAAGGCTTTACCACACTGTGCTTAGATCTCAGTGAGAACGTGTACTCAGGGCTGTTAGCCCACCCCCGATAGTCCTGCTGCTTCTTGTCCCTTCATCTTTGTAATTCTGTTCTCACTACCTGGAGTGAGAATTCTCTCTCCCCCATACTCCCTGGGTCTGGCACATGGCTCCTTACTGCTAACCACCAGCTCAAGGCTCCCCTCCTTTGTGAAGCTTCCCCACAGAGCCCGCTCCTCCCTCTCCTCTAGTATTCACCAGGCTTTGCCGTGTCGTCTGCTCCTGTCTGTGCCCTCCCCTGGGCTCTGCACCCCTTCAGGGTGGGCCTTAATCTTTCCTATACATCTCTGTCTCTACTCCCATTCCTACCAGTGGCTCAAACCTTTTCACTCATAACTCTGCTACTTGGTGCGAGACAGCAGAGCTAAAGGGTTGGATTTGAGGACAAAACTTTAAACCCATCATGGCCAAGCCATCCTAAAACTGCTATGGTGCCATGCCATTCCTGAGTCCCCCTGGGCTGTTTTGTATGGGAGACTGAGCTGTTCTAGGCCAACCATTGAGGGGACAGACTGGACCAAATGGGCTCTTAGAGAGCCACGACCTTGATTTTAGAGCACCCTCAACTTTACCGCAGAGGGTCAGCCCTATGCCTTATTCTCCAGTTTCAGTGCTAAAGAAGCATCTGTCAAATGGCTATTATGACAGTGAAAAAGCATCATGTGTAAATACTGAACAAGTGTAGGCTCATATCTTCACTACCGGGATTTTGAATGAGAGCCAGAGTGGTTTGAGATGGATGAAGCCGTAGGCCCTCGACGTGTGCTGCTGAGAGATTCCTAAAGGAGTGCTGGGCAAAGAGAGAGACACTGTTTGTGTCTTTGGTGGGCAGCTGATCATAATGGAGAGTGTCCTGTACATTATTTTCCACCTCTTGTCATCTCTCAGAGTGCTGAACAGATCCCTGTGCTGTGTAGGAGTTTTAACGACACCCAGACCAACGGCATGGAAGGACCGAGAGAGGGTCAGGACCCCCCTCTGAGACCACTCGCCCGCCACCTCTCTGATGCAGATCGCCTCCGAAAAGTCATCCAGGAGCTCGTGGACACAGAGAAGTCTTATGTGAAGGTAACGTAAGATAGTGTTCCTTCTTTCCTGCTCTTTCTTCCTTCTACAGCCAGTTGTATGTTGGCAGTGGTCTCTAGATCATATCTGCCCAGGACCCCGCCACTCATGAGGGAGACGCCTGCTCCTTGAGGCGGTGAATTGCTGTGGGAGAGGGCGAGAGGGTGGAGAAGCTGAGAGGATTCGGAAAAATTAGATTCTCGGCTCATTTTGTTACCAAGGTAGCTTTCACTATGGAAACACATGTTCTGGTTTGTCTTTTGCAATCTGTGGGGAGGGAGTCTATACTGGTTTAGTGAAAGGGGGACAGAGATCACTTTAGGTGATGCGGAACTAGGGGACAACTTGTTCACAAGCGTCTGCAGATACGGTCCCCAGAGCTCAGGTGGTCACTGGGCCCGGCCCTGCCTGATGGGGGTCACTGTGCAGGACAGAGCCCCACGGTGGATGAGCTGGTCATCACACGGGTGTTCCCACACCATCTCATTTGGGCAGCTGCCGAGCATCTTCAGTACCTGAAGAATTCAGCTGTTTATCTCAGAAGCCCCCAGTTAGTAGTTTGAGAAACTTTTTATGAAGAATACAGGAGCCTGGGAAGACAGAGTTCTTTTGCGTTAAGTGTTTGCTGAAGCTTTGGAGCGATTTTAAACTCACTGCATTGGGCAATTGCTGGAAGCAGCATGACCCGAAGCCAGGCCTGGCTTTGCCTCAATGTGCTGGCATGGCCTTGCGCGGTCCCTTCCAAATCCCTCATCTGGGGTCTGAGATGGGTGTGCCCTTGTTCCAGCTCTGACATGCCAAGTCCAGGAATTAAGCGCACACACACACACACACATGGCTGTCACCTTCTTTCTCCACAAGACAAATCTAAGCTTCCCCTTTCATTAATGTCACGTCGTTTTATCTGGACTTTACCAAAGGCCTATTTACAGGGAGCCCGGGAGAACTCCCCAAGCCCTTTCTTTTGGTCCCATAGGAGAGGACGAAAAGCTACAGTGATGACAGTTTCACTTCATTTCCCATTCTGTCTTGTCCTGCATCTGATGTGGGGACAGGAAGTGAACATCCCGGGAGTTCAGACTAGATTTCTGAGTCATCCTGTGAGCCACGGTGACCTATCCCGAGCAGCTCTGTGCGCTGTGGGTGTTGGAGGCTTCAGAGCCCTCTGACATCTTGAGGATGGTCGTGGAGCTCTGACCCGCAGAGTCGAGGGCACAGCTGAACGCAGAATCCCAAGTCCCTCTTTATTGCTGTTGCTGTTGTTACATTTGGACCGGGAGGTCGTTTCCCTGTGATGCTGGTGGAGCACTGAGAGGGATGTGATGGGTGAAGGGACAAAAAGGACCGGCTCTCCCTTCTCTCTGCAAGAAACCTGCGCTTTGTCTTAGGGCCCCAGGTGTCGCAGCTCTCGGGCACCGCGGCTCAGCGCGGACCGCTCTTGGTGTGTAAGTCCTCCCGAGCAGCACTAGCCGGCACAGGAATCACGGCAGCCCGCCACCGTCGCTGACAAAATAACCAGCACCTCGTGCCTATTGTGATTCACACACACACATCATTTTTATTTTTTAATTTCTTTTTGTTGCTGACATTTAACACGGAATTTTACTCATTATTCTTCAATCTAACCTGGATCTCTGCATGCGACTTGGGATTTTCAGCATTTGTGTGATCCCTGAGCTACGATTCAGTAACTGTGCATATCTCCCTGCTCCAAATCAGCCACTCTGGAACACGGTGAGGGAGGGAAGGCCAGGGAGGTTTTTATTGTGAAACAATAAACGGCATCACAGGCCTGTTCACTTGCTCTCAGGACCTGTGCCCTAAGGTTCTGGAGGCTTTGGGCTTCTCCAGCTCTAGATTTCTCCATTGTAAAATGAGGGAGGCAAAGAATTTGACTTTGTAGTCAACTACAAAGTGTTTTGGGGGTCAAAGTTCTTCAGAATAAATGAAACAAGAAAAAGGAGTTTGTTCTATCACTAAATTATATCCTGGTCTTGGCTTCAAATTATTAAATTAAAAAAAACAAACCTTTATTTAAGGAGTTTTGTAAATATAGTCGACTCCCACTATTCTGCCTTGCTGGAGCCCAGTTTACTGGAGACTCAAATATGGCCTTGATTGTAAATATTATGACTACCAATCTTTGGAATATTTTCTTGTATTTGAATATGGGAGTTTGAAATTCTGCTAATGTGTCAACCCCAAAGTTGAGGAGCTCCCCAGATCTTGTCCTGTCCCTCTCAGCTCCACACTGGAGCTGTCACCATGCTCCCTGGTCATCCAGATGTCACACCTGACAGAAGCATCTAGCCAGAACTCACCTCCCCTGCAGGGCCATGAGTGCTCCTGCTGCCATAGTCGAAAAAAAGATCCTGGTTCTACCAACAAGATATTTCATTAAACAGAGTAGGTGATCAAGCTATAAAGAAAACTGTGGAATCCAGCTGCTGAACATACTGTAGTATTAACCTCTTTGAATTAGGTGAGCAATAATAATAACAACAACTGCTTTTAGGGTCAAGAATTTCAATAAGACATAAACTTCATCATTCCTAATGGGAGTCTGGAGCCCCAGCCACGGTTGCTGGAAACTCCTGGGTATTTTGGAGACTTAAGTGTTCAAGACTCTCTTATTATGTCTTTCAGGATCTGAGCTGCCTCTTTGACTTATACCTGGAGCCACTTCAAAATGAGACCTTTCTTACCCAGGATGAGGTAAATAATCACCTTCCCTCTGTCCACTGATCCATACGTTAGTCTCTGTTTGCCCTTTAGCGAATCTCCTAGGAGATTATATCTACTGATCCCAAAAGAACATCCAAAACTTAAGGATCTTCAGAGAGACCCAAACGTGGCCTCCTCCAAAGCCATTTATGTGGCCTATGCCCCATGAAGCACGGTGGCAGGAGTGTACAAACACAGGATTGTCATGCCCTTTTTGTAGTAGAAGTTGTGACCAAAAGTTTTTTTTTTTTTTTTTTTTGTGAGGAGGACCAGCCCTGAGCTAACATCCAATGCCAATCCTCCCCCTTTTTTTTTTTTGCTGAGGAAGACTGGCCCTGGGCTAACATCCATGCCCATCTTCCTCTACTTTATATGGGACGCCGCCACAGCATGGCTTAACAAGCGGTGCGTCGGTGCGCACCCGGGATCTGAACCGGCGAACCCCAGGCCGCCGCAGCGGAACGTGCGCACTTAACCGCTTGCGCCACCGGCTGGCCCCCAAAAGTTACTTTTTAATACATAACTTTTTAATGTTAAATCACAGTTAGTTCTTTTCTACTGACTTCCATTTTTCCCCAATTTGAATTCTGAAAGTTTTATAGCCACTTAAAAAGTTATTTTAGAATTACAGTGTACAGGGACTAGAGCTATAAAACTCGCTGTGTTTAAGTTATAGCCCATAACGAACATGCTGTCTTCTTTAAAGGATTTACTTCCCTCTGCTTCTTGGTGAATGACTTGTGATTTATTTGTGCATCTGAGGGCTGGAGCGGTGTCTAGATTTTCATCACTAATACCCTCTTTTCAAATCCTGGTCTTCACGTAGATGGAGTCACTCTTTGGAAGTCTGCCAGAGATGCTTGAATTTCAGAAGGTGTTTCTAGAGACTCTGGAGGATGGGATTTCAGCATCATCTGACTTGAACATACTTGAAACCCCCTCGCAGTTTAGAGTAAGTATTTTAGACTTAGGTTTAAATTAAAAATAGGTGGGTACAGTGCAAAATTCTCCCTTGAAAGAGAATTTGTTGTCCCTTGACTATGGAAAAGATAAATTTAGTGCTTTCGTTGCACTGTTTTCCTCTGGCAGATGGTCGAAGATGGCTACATTTTTATCCTAGAGTAAATGCTGCCGGTAATCAGAGGTCTGTGCAGCACAACTTTCGTGGAGTCAGCCTGGTTGTTGGCCACGCCCATGCTCTTTACTCAGCTCTGCTGAAGGATCTCTAGGGCAGTGGCTTCTGAAGCGAGAGCACCTACTCCATCTGCTTCTTCATCTCCATGGTCGTGTGATGCTGGGATGAAACCATAGGTTGTAAATTGTTCTGAGAGCGCCTTCTCTTCTATGGAGCTCTGTCTCCCGTGTGAGCATCGGTCGTTGGCAAGAAGCCCTCCAGGGACGGAAAGGCAGAAGGCAGTAGAAAGGGACCAAGGAAGTGTACAGAGAGCATCACTGGTCCTAAGTAATGCAGAGTTGGCTTTATCAATTAGCCTCTCAGATCATTTATATCTCACTGTGTCAGATGTGTTTTTATAGAACTTTCTTTCTTGTCCTTGATGGCACACTCTGACAATAGGCTCTGCTGCCAGCAACTTTTTAGTCAAACTCAAGATCTGCTAGGGGAATGCCCGGGCTGTTCTCCATCCACTGGGCAAATGGGCCGGTCCTGGCTTATTTCAGCTGGTGACTTCTCGGAGGCATTAGTGCTCCAGCATCTGAAAGACAAATGCCATGGAGACACCAACGCAGTCAGATGCCATGCCAGAGCCAGCAGACATTTTGATTAAACCACATGTGATGTGACTTTTCCCCTCCCCTTCTAGAAACTACTGTTTTCCCTTGGAGGCTCTTTCCTTTACTACGCGGACCACTTTAAACTGTACAGCGGATTCTGTGCCAATCATATTAAAGTACAGAAGGTTCTAGAGCGAGGTAAGTTGCTCACACCTTTTATAGCTGTGCTTTTGTATTTTAACTGTTAACAAAGAGTAAATTTGTATTTAACAAGTAGGGATAAGTGCAGTTTTAATCCATTATGCTCCATTGTTGACCTTGAAATTGACAGGTTTTATTTTATTTATATTTTTTATTTTTGTGAGGAAGATCAGCCCTGAGCTAACACCCATGCCAATCCTCCTCTTTTTGCTGAGGAAGACTGGCCCTGCTCTAACATCTGTGCCGATCTTCCTCCACTTTATGTGGGACGCCGCCACAGCATGGCCTGACAAACAGTGCGTCAGTGTGCGCCTGGGATCCGAACCCGGGCTGCCAACAGCGGAGCGCGCACACTTACCCGCTATGCCACAGGGCCAGCCCCGAAACTGACAGATTTTAAAGGGAAAGTTTTCAGTTTATTTCAATTTATTGGTAACAGTGAATGTGTGTGCCTGAGTGCAGAGATGTTGCCTTGCCACGTGCCACTTTGTTGTTCAAGTACATCTGTATTCTTTTTTCACCAAATTCCTTGATCTAAAAACTTGTAACCATGAGCCCCTGGATAGGGGTAGAAAGAAATGTGTGCCATTTCTTTCTGTCTTGTTAACCTTCTTCTTAAGCCTGAGGAACCACTATAAACAACCACCACCAAACTCACCAGAAGTGTGTTAACTAAAATTAAAGCCTCTTTGGTGAAACCAGGAAAAAAACTAACGTTTATCACCAACAGTGACCACATGCTATCACTGAAGTACCTTTCATCTCTCCACATTTTTATCATCTTATTTTATTTTATTGGCTTTAACTGAAGACTTTTATTTCCTTGAAGTCTAGACCTGGGTGATGAAGCCTCATGGCTCTTCCCCTTCATGCCACAGCAAGCATGACTCTGTGGAGCTGAGAGAGATGCTTAGCTTTGCCTGCTGACTTGCAATGGGTCAGCTTGTGCACAGGCGGCCAGTACATTGATCCACTTGGGCTTTCAGTAATGGGCCAGGCAGTGAGCCCGGCCTGGGCTCAAGGATCTGATGACAGCAGTGACCTTCAGGTGCAGGAGTAATGGAGGGGGTTCTGTGCTGCAGTCTCCATCACTATATCTTCAACCTGATGCGCAATCTATTCCTGTAATACCCTAAACCAGGAATGCTTCCCTGAGGCTATTCTGCTACTGAAGGCTTCTTTCAGTCACCACACACCTCTTTAGGTATGAGATTAGAATTCTCAAATCTGTGTCTCTCAGAAGATGTTCTCCTGTACCATTCTCTGGAATTCTCATTTCTGGTGGCAGAGACAAGAGGAGGAAAAATCAGTGATGCAGGCACAGGACTTTAAGCTCAAGGTTGTGAGCGGCAGTAATTCAGTCTACACAGAGAACATGAAACACGTGTAGGTCCTCAGGGTCTTTCCCCTTCTGCCTCCCACAGTGGAAGGCGTCTATGAAAATATATGTAATCCTATTTAAGTTCATCTGAACTGTGTCCAGGAAAGGTCACCAGGCTATGTGTATTCTCTCAAGTGTACTTGGAAATAAGATACGAACCTCCTGAAGCTTGTACTGTTATAATATCCTAAATTTCTAGGATAAAAATGACTTCCCCCATGACTTGAATGCCTTCTTCAGAATTAAGGATGGCCTCATGCGGTTCACCCCCATTATGATTTTTACCTCTGTAGAAGCCAGTGCATCAGGGCTCTCTTCCGTGACAATGGCAGATGTTTGAGGAGGGTTCTGTATTTGACCTTTTTTAGTTGGGTCAACAGGGCAGTAGCAGCCAAGGTAAATTCCAGCCCCTTTTTCTACCTGTCGTCAAAAGCTTCTTAATGGTGTTGTCAACAAGGACCCAGAGTTTGCTCTGCAATGTTTCTTTCTCAAAACCAGGGAAAGGTCTCTCTGTACTGTCGCGGAGGGTCTGGAGAGGTTTATCCCAACACTGAGAGTGTTTAACCAGGTCCGCTGACGCAGTTCTACCATTTGGTTTAAATCCAGAACTTTACAGAACCTTAGAAGAACAGGCTTAAGTTTAAAAAATGGAGTCTTGGAGTACTTCAGAATTAACAAGACCCAGCCCAAGTCTGTCTTTTTTTGTCCTTTAAACAGAGCTCTGATTCCATCAGCATTTCCTCCCAGGAACACCTTCTTATTGACAGCATACAGTAAAATAAAAGCATACCAGCGGTTGGCTCAGTTCCTTCTTTGTCATAAAGATGAAGGATCATCTCACCATCTACTTTGTCTGGTAGTCACATTCAAAATGGTACTGCATCGCTTAGAAGCTGTAGATTTTTGCCTTTGTAACAAAACCCCAAAAAAGGGTATATCTTCATTCAAATTAGTTGAATTCCAAACAGCTGGTCTACCCGTGACAGCAGGTGGAATCCACTGGAGCTCCCAAACTCAGTGCACTCTGATTCCTGTGTGCACCCTTCACGACACTGAGACACCAAGCAGAGAGGGAGTTTTCACTGCCCAGAGGGGCCTGAGCGTCCCCTCTGGTGGAAGGATGAGACTGCTTGGAGCTGTGGAGGTGAAGGCTGCAGGGCTTATCAACTTCTGTGACAGGAAAAAAGATATTGTTTACAAATAGCCCTTAAGTGTATAGAATGTAAGTAACAATTTGTGCTGGGGTAGTAGAAAAAATACTGGTTTATTTTTTCATATGAATCTTTTGGGGGTATGGTGTAGGGTCTGGAGAACACTGTTTTGTGGCTTTATGAATTGCTTGAAACTCGCTTTTAGGCACTTATAACGATCTCTCTCGTGGGTCTGCATAAGAATGTGCCTTTGAAGTCAGACATTCCCACGTTTCGCCTCGGTGTTCTGCTTTGGTGTGTGGACGGTACTGTCTGGCAGCCTCGTAAGCTCCCTTTGCTAGCGGGATCTGCCACAGAGCTGTGAGGCGGCATCCACGTTGACAGCTGGGTGCTTGACCCACTGGCGCATTTGGGTTTTTATTAAAGGATGGCACTGGGGGGCTATGGAAGAGGATGATCTGTAACTCCATTAAAAGCTAAATGGAGTAGAATTTAGTTCATCCTGCTCTGCTCTTCTAAGGGTCTTTGTCTGTCTGTCTGTAGCAAAAACGGATAAAGCCTTCAAGGCTTTTCTGGATGCCCGGAATCCCACCAAGCAGCACTCCTCCACGCTGGAGTCCTTCCTCATCAAGCCGGTTCAGAGGGTGCTCAAATACCCGCTGCTGCTCAAGGAGCTGGTGTCCCTGACGGACCACGAGAGCGAGGAGCACTACCACCTGACGGGTACGTGTGAAGCGCACGGGTTGTGACTGCTGCCACCCCCGGGCCTACAGTTCCCCTCTTCCCTGCTCAGTTTCATGTTCTGAAACATTTCCCAGTACCACGCTTGTTAATCTTAGATATAATTTTCATTTGTGACGATAGCTAGATATATGGCCATCCCTTTAGATAGGCAAAAATCACCTCATTGGAGTAGCTCCAAACCCCTCTAGAGGGATGATTCCATTTTCATTTTCAAAAGAAGGTAATTTAAGCTCAGTGAGTTGAAATAAATGAGTTCAGGTCACTTGGTTAGCAAACGGTGCTGCCAGAACTGAAAATCAGGCCTGTTTTCCTAGGGCTTTGTGAAGTTTTGTGTTATCTGTGCCCAAGTGCTGCTGATCAGATATGCTGGGTGAGGCTCCACCTTGTGGAGGCGTCAGAGCAGAGCCTGACTCTGGAACCAGACTCCCCAGGACAGTTATGCTTTCAAGTTGACTCTGATGGGTCTTCTCTTGCAACCTCAGAAATTTTTGCCTAAGATACAATTTCTCAAATACACAAAGCCCCTCGGTTTGACAGTAAATAGTGAATCCCTTAAAGAGATGCTGTGTTTGAACTCGAGAGAGAGAGAGTGGTTTGCTCTCTCCACATGTCAGAACTAGGAGGTCCCATTAGCTACATGTAATAAAGCACGTGGAGAGAGAGACAAACTTATTAATAAATATTAGTATTACTGAATCACAAATACTGAGAAGAGTGTAAATTAAACTAGTTCTTTTTCTATGACAAGCATACTTTTGTATAATAAGTAATAAGGACAGAATATGAAAATACTTTTTGTATGAAAGTTATTCTGTAAGTAAATGATACAAATTATGATCAGCATTCAAATACTGTGTGAACAGTTCATTTTGCCTTCGGATGATCTTTAAAAGAGGTCTGTTAAAAAACTGCCTTCTAAAACTCCCCCAACTGAATTAAAATACTGAATGAGAAGAACAAAGTATGAAAAACAGTGAATTTGGTGGTGACCCGAAATTTTGCTTTTTGACTTTGACGAAATCATTTTGTCCTTCACACACCTGTGCAGAAAGTTATAAGCAAATGCCATGTAAAAATTCAAACAATTGCTCTGGCAATCAGGCATTTACAGAGACAGCGTTAAGTTCTTTTTAAGAAATTATTATAGATCACAATTCCGGTAACTGGTCCAGGAGGGGAAGCAAAATTTAAGAGCAGGTATCTTGTGGCCAGTCAGCCTTGGGTTTGAATTCTGGCTCCAATCTTTGTTCTGTTTTTGGAAGTCTGGCCAAACACTTAACCCCTCTGCACCTCAGTTTTCTCATCTGTAAAATGGGCTTGACTACAGATCTTACAGTCATCGAGTCATTGTGGAGATTAAATGAGATGACTCACGTAAGTCACCTGTCAGAACACCTGCCAAATAGAAACTGCTCCATCAATGTCAGCTGTTATTATTAGGGATACTTTTGACTTGGGTTCGGCCTCATTTCAAAGAGAATTTGAGGTGGAAGAAAACCCTACTGTTCTTCATTATAACGACTAGATTACAGTGGGCTGTGTGAACCATACCTGAATAATGCCGCTGTTAGTAAGAACTGGTCTCAAATGCCGGCTTGAATCTTGAGCTTTTTCATTACTGCTGTTGGATAGGATTTCAAAAAAACAAAAATTATCAAATAAATATTTCATATTTTGCAGAAGCACTAAAGGCAATGGAAAAAGTCGCGAGCCACATCAATGAGATGCAGAAGATATATGAGGACTATGGGACCGTGTTTGACCAGCTAGTGGCAGAGCAGAGTGGGACAGAGAAGGAGGTCAGCGGGACTTCCGGATTCTGGGGTTTAATGCCCATGTGCATTGGGTCTGTAGGTGACCTCCAGACTGGACCACCCATGGGGGCCTTCCTGGAGGAGAAAATGCCTAAAATTTTCTTTTTGATCTCAATGCTTATAATAAGCCACACAATTTAGGTATAAGTGTAACATAAAATTCATTACATTGCTTTAAAAACATAACCTTACGTCCTGTTAACGTTGTACAAAAGAAAACAATAAATTTCACTGAGTTCATATCCCTACCTCCTCCTCCTCTCCTATGGAGCATGAGCTTAAGACAAATCCCAGAGGCCGGAACATGTACGGAGAGCTTGGGCGGGCAGAGGGCAGGATGGATAAAGGAAGTGGGAGCCAGCACATGGAGAGAATCTAGAGCTTTTCCTCTTTTTTCTCTTTTAATCAAATATTGGTGGCTACATCCTTATTTATAAAAGTAGTTTAAGTGGAATTTGACAATTTCTATATTTTTCTTTTCTGGCTGATTACTAAATTTAGAATCTTGAGCTTTTAAAGTCTACATATAAGAAGGAATATAGTTTAAGTAGAAAAAGGCAAGAACAGAAAACAGCTGGAGTTTCATTTTTACAACAGTCAGTTTCAATGTTCATACTTTTCTTATTAGCAGGCCTAGTGTAGTTTAGGGATTCGAGGTGGTAAATATACCAGAGCCTGGGGGAAATGTTAACAAAGGCACTTTGGATGAACTTGACACTGTGATGGAATTAATGCTATGGAAGTTACAAGGCATGTCTCACCCACATGTAATGTGTGCATTGAAACAAAATGCCTTCACATTTATGTTCCTTTCCAAACAGTTTGATGCTTAGCTCCTATTTTTTGGTGAGGAAGATTAGCCCTGAGCTAACATCCGATGCCAATCCTCCCCTTTCTGCTGAGGAAGATTGGCCCTGGGCTAACATCATACCCATCTTCCTCTACTTTATACGGAACGCCACCACAGCATAGCTTGACAGGCAGTGCGTCAGCTCCCACCCGGGATCCAAACCTGTGGACCCCAGGCCGCCAAAGCGGAGCGTGCGAACTTAACCACTACACCACCAGGCAGGCCCCCTTAGCTCATGTTTAAAACCTCCACTGTTTAAGGCCCCATGTTTACAAGGACCATAAAAATCAAACTGAAATACACTTGCATTTTAGCAATGACCATATACATGTGATTCACTCTGTAACAGGAGACAGCCTACCCTGGGGTTTCCACATCTTCTTTATCTCCTGTTTTTATGATGCAGGTAACTGAACTTTCAATGGGGGAACTTCTGATGCACTCTACAGTTTCCTGGTTGAATCCGTTTTTGTCTCTAGGAAAAGCCAGAAAGGACCTTGAGCTCACAGTATTTGGTTAGTATTCAAAGGACATAAACTTAAAAGAGGCTGAAAATAATGAAGCACTTGCCAAACCCACCAGTCCAGCTAATTCCTGATTTCCAGAAGGAGTCAGAATCATTGCTGTCATGGCTTTTGACTTAACACCGCCAGCCTCCAACTATTTAAAACTCTGTCGCTCTGCATATTCATTATCTTGTTCTCTCGTCTGCTACTTGGCTTGGTGGTTCTCACCAAGTGTTACAGGAACAGAGCTGCCGAGGCTATTTTGAAACCTGCTATCTTAATAGTTTGCTGCACATCAAAATCTCTTAATTCTCACTGAGAGCCCCGAGAGCGAGAATAGACACTGTATTCTCTTTTAGGTGAACGCCATGTTCTCAGCTTTCAATAAAACAAAACAAGAATTAAAAGAAAAAAAAGCCAGGATATACTTCAGATAATAGCTTTTAAAAAGCAGGTACTTCTGCATAATTCAAATATGAACAGAAGGAAGTACGATTTAGTCACTCATGTGCTGGCACGGTGGGATCTTGGAGCTTCATGAGTTTGAAGAGCTTTGTTCTATTAAAACATTCAGCTTTGGTTCAATCTTGGAAGAGTTTGTATAAAATAATGAAAGACTTTTCTTTCTCTTTTCCTTTCTTTAGTTTTTAAGAGAGCCGTCATATTGGTTTATAAAGAAAACTGCAAACTGAAAAAGAAATTGGTAAGACAAGAATTCATTTTAATGAAAGCTACCTTTTCATGGCTATGTCTCCCTATTCATGTTGAATTGGAAAGCCTGCTAAGCACCAAGACCTCACTGACGGATGTTACTTATTCCCCGGGTAACTAACCAAATCAAATACTCAAGGTATTTATTCTCCCCACAAAAAATGTCTGTTTTAAAAGAAGATATAGATAAACACCCATGCTGGGGCCTACATAGAAAATCAGCTTTTATATCTCTGAAAATGGCCCGTGTTTGCTCCATACACATCAGAGTCTGTGTCACTTTGGTTCGCTTTCAAATGCCTTTTACCTTGATTCAAAAAAAAGAAAAAGCTTAGCTGTGAATACCATAAGCCATTAGTTTACCATTTAGTGGTAATGTGTGGACGGGGAAGACTTGGTTGTCATTCTTGCTTGGGAATTTAGAATTCTGCCCCCCAAACCATGACTCTGCCCTATCCCCACCCAGTCTGTGAGCTGCTTGAGGACTGGGGGCACAGCTGACCTGATTCATTTCTGCACCCTGAACACCCACACAGCTGCAAGGAGCCTCGCACACAGAACTTAAAGCTTCCATACTGTGCGCACATCCTCCCTGGGTAAGAGCTTGCTCTAACACTTTTCCTGGTGGGCTTTCGTATTACAGCCCTCGAATTCCCGGCCGGCACACAGCTCTGCTGACTTGGACCCATTTAAATTTCGCTGGTTGATCCCCATATCCGCACTTCAAGTCAGACTGGGGAATACAGCAGGTAATTGTTTTGTGTGGTACAGTGCCAGAAAAAAATATTTTAAGACACTTGTTTAAACTGTGGAATGAAAAAGTAGGAAAGAACTTTGAGGATAATTTTTGCTGTTTTATTTTATAGGCAAGGAAAATGAGCGCAAGAGGTTGTTTTGATGTTTCTTTATAGTCTTTTGGGGACAGTAAATGCCAATGGAGGGCTGTTCTTTGCCAAATACCTCTCTTCATTGTTTGCTTATTTTCACTATCAACAGTTTCCAACATTTTATTTTCTGCCTAATATCCTTGATACCCTAAAATTTTTTAAAGAAACAAAGGTACCCAAATTTAAATTTTTACAAATTTAGATACACCAAAAAATTCCTTAATATTGAGCAGTATCATAAGTGATATAAAAACAAGAAAAAAAATCTTCGACTCAGGAATACGTTCAGAGATCCTTCCAGAATAACCGTGTTCTGGTGACGATGCCTCTGGTGATGGGAAGGACCAACAGGCTAAAGTGTGCAGTGGCCTTCTGGGTCCTTGTTTAATTTTTGTCAGAAGTGCTTACATTTCCCAGAACATCACTGAATTTGGGGCCGGCCTCTTTTACTTGAAGTGCATGAGTACGTCCTACTGTTCCTTCCAAGGAACGGGGTTGAAAAACAGGACCCATTTAACCTTTTTCCAGAGAGATGGAATCCAGAGGTAGGAAGCACTAGAATGGATGGAAAACTCCAGCAGGAAATGTAAAAAGTAACTGAAAAGTATTTAACTTTTTGTAACTATTTGTGAAAGTCATCTACAGAATGAGTCACAGAGGAAAATGATGAGTCAGGATTGGGAAAATTTGACTTCTTAAAGTCACTAAATCGTGAGTTTTAAACTTCACAAGTGCTCTTAACCGCAGCGTCTTTGGCAAAGTTGTAGACTCTTGTTTCCATTTCCTTTTTCACAGGGACAGAAAATAATTCCATATGGGAGCTGATCCACACGAAGTCAGAAATAGAAGGACGGCCAGAAACCATCTTTCAGTTGTGCTGCAGGTATTACAGACTTCCAAAAATTAAAGCCAATGGGAATAAGATAGAATCGTGTCCTCTTAAAAAAGCGAGTTTATTTTTAGTGACTTCCTGAATTTTGATGACTTCAGGATCACACCCACCCTCCCCAAAATGGCAACTGTGGCTCTAGTAGAATACATTGGTTAGGTATATATCCAAATCTTAGTGTTTGAAGGAACTTCAAGAACGATCAGTTCTCAGTCCTTTTGTAAGTGAGGAGACCAAGACAGAGAGGCTGGGTGACTTGCCCTCAGCCTGTCCTGAGCAGTACTGTGCTACAGGATGGCCAGGGGATGTGGCATCGAAACACAGTGACACTCTGGACACTCCTGCTGTTTTCTCTCTTCCCCCACCAGTGACAATGAAAGCAAAACCAACATCGTCAAGGTGATTCGATCTATTCTGCGGGAAAACTTCAGGCGTCACATCAAGTGTGAACTACCCCTGGAGAAAACATGTAAGGATCGCCTGGTGCCCCTTAAGAACCGCGTTCCTGTTTCAGCCAAATTAGGTGAGAACTTCCTGGCCTCGTGTTTATTCAGGAAAACATTATGAGCTTCTCTACAAGGATATATGCTCTTGTGATACAGCGTTAAGTCATCACTTTCTAAATGACCAGGGGTAGCTTTGTAAGCTCTAAACCAGACACCCGAATACGCAGGGTGGTGTGAGAAGGTAGTGGCAATTTTATTTCCTTTTAAGAAACCTAAACATGCCTCTTGCTCCCAGACCTTTTATAAACTGTAACCACTCCCAACCCCAAATCCCTCGTGTTACCACAAGCTGACATGGTCTACACTTACCACCTTCTCTGTTTCTCCCCTGAGATGCCCAGGAGTCCAGGGACTTGGTTTTGCCCATTGCAGTATCCCAGTGCTGAGAACAGCCCAAGGCATCTAGAAAGTCAATACTTAATGAATTAAGCTCAAGAAACCCAATATAGTCATTCTTATCCAATCAGTAAGTCAGTAGGTAAATATTCCAAATCCTGCTGTTCTTAGACTTTCTGCTTGTTTTTAAAATTTCAGTTTAAATTTTCAGAACCTCTTGCTATATTAACTATTTTGTTAATATATCTCTGATCTTGTTTTTAGTCTTACAAAATGTCTCTCTTGTTTTTCTTTTTTGGTCAGTTTGACCTCTTCAAATTTACCGTGTATTTTCTGTTTTCCTCTATTGCCAAAATAAGCTACGACCATTAAAAATACGCTGCTGTTGTCTGCAGAAACACCACAATTGAAAGCTCCCCCTTTTCCCTTCAACCCGAGAGAAAGGAATTAAACACACACAAATGACTAAATATTCATATTAAATCTCTGAAAGTTGGCTAGAAATTTCAGCAGACACTCCTCATGAGACAAACAGCATTTTTCTACTTTTAATTGAGCAGCAAGGGAAATAAACAAGGTGAGAATGTAGGCATAGAAATATGGTGTAATCTTGGTTATGAAATTACAAAGTACTTCAATGAAAGAAAGGAACCTAGATTTTATTAGTAACTAACTTTTCAAGTTATCCATGGGCAAAATAAGCATCCTAGCCCTTATAATAGTTTCTAGCTTAATGTTCTATCCAAATAATTGAGCTCTGGTAATTGGTCATCTAAAAATGCCAAATACTCCAGCTTGTAATTTCAAATAAACCAAGTAAAAAATTTCCATACTTGCAGTATCTACATGTTTTTGCCTAAGTCCCAGGATAGTTGGTTATTGAAGTGACATGATCAAATCTTAAGTAATGAAGCTGTTAAATCTTATAACCTACAATGCAAAAACTACACCTGGTGGAATCCGTTTATCTGTGATGAGGGGAAATGCATTTTTCTCTTTGCAGCCTCATCCAGGTCCTTGCGAGTCCTCAAGAATTCCTCCAGCAGCGAGGGGCCCAGTGAGCCTGGCAAGGGCAGCTCGCTGGATTCCGACGAGTGCAGCCTGAGCAGCAGCACCCAGAGCAGCGGCTGCCACACGGCCGGGAGCAGGCAGGACTCCCTGAAACACCCCCACGCGGGCTTGGGCGATTTTTCAGATGGTCTCATCAAAGAGAGCGACATTCTGAGCGACGATGAGGACTACCATCAGACTCGGAAACAGGGCAGCCCGACCAAAGACATTGAGATTCAGTTCCAGAAACTGAGAATCTCCGAGGACCCCGATGCTCATCCGGCCGAACAGCAGCCTGGCACGGCCGGCCGGCCGGGAGGGGAACAGCCCAAACTGGTCCGGGGGCACTTCTGCGCCATCAAACGGAAAGCAAACAGCACCAAAAGGGACAGGGGGGCTCTGCTCAAGGTGCAGACTCGTCACCAGTCCCTTGACAGTCAATGTGAAAATGCCAACCTGGATTTCAATTCTGTCCTAGAGCGAGAATTCAGTGTCCAGAGCTTAACTTCTGTTGTCAGTGAGGAGTGTTTTTATGAAACAGAGGGCCATGGAAAATCATAGTACAATTTCAATCCAGATATGGGTGAAATTGCTCGTTTCTCTTTTAAACTGGTGGTAAAGTGGCAACGGCAGAAAAACCATTCATTATTGGGTTTTGTGCAGTATACATTTTCCCACAAAACAGCTGTAAAGATTTAAGTTATTTTAATTTATTGTGGATCAAAAACTAGATTAAACTGGTCAGAATTTGTAAATTACTTAGTTTATATCCCTTTTGAGCAGGTATCAAAATGACTTAGACTCCTTAAAATAAAATTGCATTCTAATTATTTTAATTTATGTGGAAAAAGTAAGGTGGGAAAGTTGTGAATAGCTTTAAAAAGATCATTTTTTTCCAATCCTCTGGGCATTTTCTTTGAGCTGTTAGTTTTGGCTTTATTTAAAGCATATTTAAGTTATTTTAATGTGGGTTAGGGGCACAACGTGCAGATACTTCATTTTTGTAAGGTTGTAATAGATGCTGTTTATACTAAACATGTCATATCTATGCAGTATATATATTAAAAGCTTGTACTGTATCTTATTTGATTAGGTTTATTTTCTCTACCAAGCTGTACAGTAAAAGGGAAGTCACATCTGGTAATTGGTATTTTTATTGTCATTCTGTAGAAGACAAAAGGGTACACACATAAGAAGCTCACATTGTGAAAATCAACACTCTGTAAGCTGCTAGCCCCTAAAGCAGCAGCTATAGTCTGTAACTCTCCTTATGCTCTTTTTCCTGATTTTTGCTTTTATTTTGCTTGAGTTCTTCTCTGAAACTATAAGCAAAGAGGTGTGGGTCTTCATCACACATTTTCCGGTACACATCACAGAGGCTCTTAAAATGTGAGACAGACAGCTGCCTGGGTCGAAGGGTAGGGTCCACATCTGCCAACTGTAACAGTTTTCCAGTGCTTTCTAGGCGCTGAGCTTCAGGGAATAACATTCTGAGAGGAAGAGAAAAAAATCAAAATTTTACTCAGGAAATTCTGCCAATCAAGACACTTCCTTCTACCCTCATTTGAAAACAACATGGTTCTGACAACTATCAACTTGGGGGAGTGGAAGAGGGGGCTGGAGCCTCTGTGGTGTCCTGTGGCACTCCATGCCAATGGAGAAGGACTTAGGTGACCCCACTAGGCATCAGGTATGACCAGGCACCGAGGTGGAGCTAATCTGACCTGCAAGGTTGTCCATGAGGGAAAGTATTTTCCAAAGCTAAATCAATACATGTATCTTTGAGGTAGGCTTAAAGTAACATCTGCTCACCTGCATCCTTATAGAAATCTAAGTTTGATTTGCCTCAATTTAATATGACAGTTGTCTATTATTTCTTGTGTGTGTGTGTGTGTGTGTGTGTTTTGTGAGGAAGACTGGCCCTGAGCTAACATCTGTGCCAATCTTCCTCTATTTTGTATGTGGGATGCCACCACAGCATGGCTTGATGAGTGGTGTGTACGTCCACGCCCGGGATCTGAACCCACGAACCCTGGGCCACCGAAGCAGAGTGCACAAACTAACCACTATGCCACTGGGCCAGCCCCTCTTGTGTGACATATCAGTTTTGATTTTCTATAATTTGAACTTAGCCTCTGGAACTCTTCATCCCAAAAGAATGACATTGCTTTGCAAAGTTAGAAAACAGTTGATGTCAAAGGATTGTAAAGACTCACCTGGATCTTAGTTTCTTCTCTCAAGCCTCAGAGGCTCTACAGAGCTCATCTCAAAGGGCTTGGAAGATCTCATGGCCAGCAGAGACTGAGTTTTTCTTACAGGCTGATGGTGCTCTCAATAGGAACTGCATGTTCCCCACACTTACAGGGTGAGTTGACTGAGATCTCTTGAGTTCAGTTTCATGGCAAGGAGAGTCTGATCATAGTTCCTAACTCCTGGGACCAATTTGTGGTGTGGTGTGACTGAAGGACACCAACAGGTCAAAGTGGGTCACACCATTTGGTCCTCATCTGCACAGGGGATGGTGTTTGTGAAATGAATGAGGCCCATCACTTAGCTAGAAGGTTGTCTTGGAAACAGTAGGGCCAAATCTGGGTTCAGGCCAATCCAGGATTTCCCAAAGTAGGATAAACTTTTTGTGACTTTTTTCCCCCACAAATCAGGGCTATCACGCACAGTTGTGTGTGTCACACCCAGCCTGATGGATGTGAGCTGAAACCCAGCCTGTGTTCTACTCACCAAATAGTGCATCCTGGCAGGGGGCTGCAGCCTACCAGGGGGTGCCTTCATGCTAACTAGTACAAGGATAGCCAGTGGCATCCCGGCCCCCAACTCTGCATCCTAAGTCTCTGCTAGAGAAGTAGCGGCTGTCCTGGCCTAATCAGAGTCAACGAATGGCAGGTTGAGGAATTACAGCCAGTCATCTCAAATCCTCAAGAATGAGTCTGGATTGCAATGGTTTCAGGACGCAGCTACCCAGCTGCACCTAAAGTAATTTCACGTGCCACAGGGACCCTTCACTAAACCAGGAAAAGAATTAAGACGGAGCTATGGGAGGGAGTTTAGAAAATGAGTGATGTGTGCCTGTGAAGCTGAGCCCCTTTCAAGAGCTGACTGTTGACTATATTAGACGGAAATCTTTGGGAACCGCCCCCCCCTCACACATTTTCCTCCCTTCTTAAACAGACTATAGTTAGGCCTCATCAAACGTTTTCTTGGCTGTCACTGGATATAAAATATTGCTGTGGTCACTTCAGGGCCTACTGAGGCACGTGGACCCTACCTCGTAATTCTCTGTCTGGGTTTCCCGATGGTGCCGACATACTTATGCAGAGCGGCAAGCATGGCAGGACAAAGGAGCTCTCTGCTGAATAAAAATGCGCTTGCACGAATACTTGGTGACATCATTTTGGCTGCTCAGAAGCTATATTTGCTTCCTAGTTCTAAGTGTGCCCTTAAAGAAGAGATATAGCAACTTGGTGGAGAGAAAGCATTTTAAAAGCCCACTTAGTGTGATGATAAGAAATATACATTTGGTCTTTGTCCCAGGTTCCTGACACAGCTTCTTAAACCTTTGAGAGTCCTGAGTGATAGTGACAGGAGTATCTTTTGCTATTCATAACAAGTCCCTTTCAACCACACCTGAGTCTGTGCTAATGAGGTGACTCTGCGTGGGCCCCTAGGTAGCTTCAGGACGGGGGATCATTGCCAGAGGAACCAACCATGTGATTAGAGGGTTGGAAATTTCAGCACTACCCCTAGACCTCCCAGGACGGGAGAAGGGCTGGAGATTGAGGTCAATCACCAGGGGCCAATAATCTAATCAATTGTGCCTGTGTAATGGAACTTCCATAAAAACCCCTAAATGATGGGGTTTGGAAAGCTTCCAGGTTGGTGAACACACTGAGGTGCCGATAGGATGGTAAACCCAGAGAGGGCATGGAGGCTCTGAGCACCCCCTGCCCCCCCACCTTGCCCTATGCATCTCTTCCATTTGGCTGCTCCAGAGTTACATCCTTTATAATAAACCAATAAATGAAAGTAAAGTGTTTTCTTGAGTTCTGTGAGGCATTCTAGCAAATTACCGAACCTGAATGGGGGTCACGGAAATCCCCAATTTATAGCTGGTTGGTCAGAAGCACAAGTGGCGACCTGGGACTTGGAACTGGCGTCTGAAGTGTGGGTAGTCTTGTGAGACTGAGCTCTTAACCTGAGGGGTCTGCACTAACTCCAGGTGGTTAATGTCAGACTTGAATCGAAGGACACCCAGTGGGTGTCTGGAGAATTGGTTGGTGTTGGAAAAAACACCAGACATTTGGTGTCAGAAGTGTCAAGATTAAAAACAGTTCAGATGATCTGAGTCCTGATTGAGAAGTCATGACCTCCCCAGCACAGGGTCATCATAAACTGTGTGATTGTCAGTTTCAGGTTGTACTTATGATAAAAGAAAACCCACAAGTGGCATCTGAGGTTAAATCAAAGTTTTGCTCTTTCTTTAGTGGGAATCAAGGTTGGTTCACCAGAGGATTTGAACTAAGAGTGGTATTATAGATAGCTTGAAGAATCATAAAAACAATGTTCTTAATCATTAAAAGTGATTGGTGGGGGCCGGGCCCGTGGCTTAGCAGTTAAGTGCCCACACTCCGCTACTGGTGGCCCGGGTTCGGATCCTGGGCGCGCACCGACACACTGCTTGTCCGGCCATGCTGAGGCCGCGTCCCACATACAGCAGCTAGAAGGATGTGCAACTATGACATACAACTATCTACTGGGGCTTTGGGGAGAAAAAGGGAAGAAAAGGAGGACTGGCAATAGATGTTAGCTCAGGGTCAGTCTTCCTCAGCAAAAAGAGGAGGATGGGCGTGGATGTTAGCTCAGGGCTGATCTTCCCCACACACACAGAAAAAAAAGTGATTAGGGATCTTATAAAGAGTGCTACTGAAAGGAAGAGAAGGCATTCTTACCCAAGCCCTCGATGGCAGTACTTCCTTCGGAACTGAAACACGTTCTGAACGACCTTCTCCACCAGCTTGAACGGCTGCTCTATCCTGGGCTGTGTCAGGGGAGTGAAGTGCACCACGCCCACGTCCACCTTCGTTGTAAGCAAACATACATCACTTTGTGTCACGGCATGACACGATTAAACAATCTATCTTCGTAAAACACAGGAGGACGGGTCACCGAGAGCATGGTTTTCACAAACAAACCTTTGCAGGGGCTTCAGTGTCATCTTCTCCAGGCCTGGAAGACGCTATGTTTGCATTTGAGTTGACTCAGGGAAACCACAGCTGGGACATCCACTTGACCTGTGTGTGCCTGATGATCACTGACTTTTAAAATGCAGTTTTACAATGGCCTTTGAAGATCAATCCAAATCATCACTGAAGCCAGTGGGCAGATAACAGATAGCACTAGAATGTTTTATTTAGCTTTTGAAGGAGTAAAAGCAAGCTGCAGCAGCAGTTCTGACCAGAAGGCCGGGCTTCAAAACAGCGAGAAGACAGATGGGCCCCCAGGGGCCACTCAGTGCTCAACTCCCCAGAAATCAACTAGGACACCACTTGTTTTGGATACAGATACCGATTAATCAGCTGGACTGAATTCATGATCGTCCTCTGCACGTCACATAACTTTTTGGTAGCAACTTTAAATGCCCTAAGAGCCACAGGCAGGATCCAAATAAAAAATAGAAACCACCAAAAATGTTACTGTTTGAGTGTTAAGCTACTACCAGCTGTTGAGATTCTTTATCAGAAAATAAAACGTTTCAGGCATATCTATTAAGAGACGCATATCCTGCCGTATTCTAAAAATGGATTCATGGTGATTCACAAGGAATTCAAAATAACAGAGAAAAAATACTGAAAGTAAAGACTAAGGGAGACACGGAGTCAAATCAGTTACCACACACATAACAAAGCCTGACAGACCAGTCTAGGAAATGGGAAGTCTGTTCATAACTTACACAAACATTAGTCTCCAAGGAATTGTTAAACTTGCTACTTAGAATATCACACAGACTCTACAAAGTACAGCAATTTATGAAGAGTGGGTCACACTGCTGCTTTTCAAAAGGAATCCT